TATTACGCTAAGAATTTAGCGAAACTTGTTATTGAAAAATACGGATGGTACTATATGCCAGTTACTGTTCATAAGATTCTGTTTCATGGTGCAGAAATTATAAAATATGCAATTATGCCAGTAGGACAGCTCTCCGAAGAGGCTCTTGAAGCTAGACATAAACAGTTTAGAAAATATCGTCTTGAGAATACCAGAAAGATCAATAGGAAAGCGACAAATGAAGATTTATTGCATCATTTATTAATATCGTCTGATCCATTTATATCCAGCCTAAAACCCGATTTCAGAAAATCAAAAGAGAAAGAAATGTTTCCAGAGGTACAAGGATTATTTCTTCAACAAGAAGAAAATTCCGAAAACGATGAAGACTGTAATGCAGAAAATTCTGACGCTTCTCTCTAACTCTGACGTCTAAAATTTATTTTAATCGGTAAGTAATATTATCTGTAATTCATAATTATGTTCATTACATAGTTGCCAATTGTTTTTCGTGTACATATACTTCTATTACTTACGCTCGAAATGATAAAAACAAAAATATTATCATATTATATCAAAATCTCAAGTAAAAATACTATATAAATAAAGTAGACGTATAAAATAAAAAAAACCCAGAACGCTCCACCGCTATGTCCGAGAAACTCTATGTTTCGTTCCACTGTGGGTCGGCGTGTTTCCGACAACTTCGTCGGCTCCTTGGAGAACGGCATTCGGACCACGTACCTCCCCGTCTCCGTGCGAGAGTGCGTTTTCACGTAGAAGTCCTCGCACTTCTGTTCGTCAGGCGTGAGGGCGGCGGGAGCGGAAGGCTCTGCTTCTTACTCCCAGAAGCGGCGCACGAGATCGGCCAACTCGTGGTCGGCCGTCGCTTGAAAGCTGCCGCGCGTGTGGAGGGCTGAGGCACCGCAGCCACCGGATAGAATCCACCCGAAGGCTGTCTTCTGCGCAATCGGGGCGTGCGGTCCGCCCTTTCAAATGCCCTCTTCGAGGATGATGAAGCACACTTCTGCTCCGAGAAGTAACTCGACCGGGTCTCCAGCCGAAAACTGCGCATCGGCTAGAGGCAGCCCTTTGAGATGAGGCCACGTAGCGGGGCTCTTTGTCGCCGAGCCTTGGTAAAGAAAAAGACGGGGCAGTACGAACGCGACGGCGGTAATCGTGGCTCCGGTCGTCACGGACGTAAGGCTCACCGTCACCTTCCCGCGGGTTGACCCGGATTTCGACCCCCCGATTCCGAAAATCGACACGGCAGAGCGAGATCGTTGCAGGTGCAAGCGCTGTACGAGAGATTATTCGGCGACAATTGAGCCTCAGACCCTTGGTCGATGAGGGCTCGCACAGGATGAGAGTCTCCATGGCGGTCGGTGATGGTAACTCGCGCGGTTGCGAGGAGGATCGCCTTGCGGTCGTCAGCGGAACGCACGGCGGACAGCGCGCTGACCTCGGTGGACGGCGACGCGGGAACGTAGGCTTCATGAAGCATCGTGTGATGCCGAGCCTTACACGTGAAACAGTTCTTCGAAGATTGGCACTTTGCGACGGTGTGATTGCCAAGGCAATTGAAACACAGCCGACTGGACTCTACAACCGTCTTTCGCTCGGTGGCGGACTTGGCTTTAAAATCGCTGCACGTCATCAGCGAGTGTTTCCCCTTGCACAGGGCGCACTGCGGATCGGAGCTGTCTTTCAACCCTTGTTTCGCGACGTGGGTCTTCGCGGACCGAGTGGAATCGGAAGCTTTCGCGGCGGTTTTCGGTCTCGCGGCGTTTAACGTGAGGATGCGCTTTGACATGAAGTCCGTGAGCTTCTCGTGCTCCGGCGGATCGACGGAGTCGGAGACGAATGATTCCCACTCGAGTCGCGTACGCTGGTCGAAGAGCTCGACAACCAGGTGGTTAAAGAGGTTCACTTCATGGGACCTTATGGGCCTCCCGATGCTCTCCTGCGCATTGACTGCGGTTGTGACGGCGTTATGGATGCGGCTCAGCTCGTCAGCGGTTTCTCCCTTTATTTTCGCCACGGCGGTAAACGTGGCAAAGTTGGAGCGTATCAACTCCCTCTTGTTCTCGAAATGTTTACTCAGAATAGCCCACGCGCGGTCGTAATTGTCTCCGGTCACCGTTAATGAACTCACTAATTTTTCAGCGGGCCCTCGCAGACACGATCGGAGGTAATGGAGCCGCTCAACGTTCGAAATTGACGAATTCTTACCGATGACCGACTTGAAGAGATCCCGAAACGACGGCCACTCCTCATACGCGCCCGAAAAGTTCCGCAACTGAATACGCGGCAGTGACGTCTTGGGAGCGTGTTCGCTGTTTTGCTCCGGTCCAACTGGCACTCTAGGCGACGCGGGTTTGAGTTTGTTTTCGAGCCCGAAAAGCAAACCGCGTTGATGCGCGTAAGAATTCTCAACGGTGTCGACAAAATCAGTTTTGGCGTACTCACTCTCGCTGTAGAGTTGCCCGTAGCATGCCCGAATGAGGTCATGATTGGACTCAAATTTGGCCCACAGGTCGTCAAGAATGCGGATGCGAGTGCTCACCGTGCCGAGGGTGAGCTTGTCTGCACCCAGCTTCCGGAGGTTGTCCATGGCGCGGGAGATGCGACCGTGGATGTCGTGCTGGCTGTTCAGCAAGGCGCTCTGTTCCATGCTCATGTTGGCAGTCGCTCGTTGAGGAGACACTCCCGAAATCGCGGTTGCCGGTATGATCCGGCTCGAAGGACCAGAAATGTTCGAGAGCACGCGGTAGCGCGGTATCGCGCGAGGTAACGAAACGACCACAAAAAGAACAAAAATGAACAGCAAGCAAAAATGAAATATAGTATATAATGTTCCCAAAATTCAAATATGTACAAGTTATTTACAGAGTCTTTAATATTTCCAGTAAAGGAAAAAGCCGTGAACGCGCACAATGGTTAGCACGGCAAGAGCGGCGAGCGGTTACGCGAATGCAAAAATGCGGTTGAAGCAAAGTACAAGCGGTCGTATGCGATGATACTTTAGCGGGTGATCTACGAGCGAGAATCGATCCCGCGCCGAGGCGGCGGTCGTTTTATCACCTCCGAGACGAAACTCCTTCCAGACAAATTTCTATGACTTTCGGGAGGATGATTGGCCGTCGGAGCCCTACGTCATCGCGCTGACGTCACTGTTTGCACGTGACAATCCGCGGATCGTTACTTGTTTGCGCTCGCTTTTGTTTATAGCATGGACCTTTCTATTGTGTAGCTTGACTTTGTTTGTTCACTCGGTCAGCTGTGGCAATGTTTTTGCCGATTAGCGAACTTTCTGGAATATGAGCGAAAGAAAGATCCATGCTATACTGACGAATTTAATATTGAAGAGGCGATTTGCAATGCGGTTAAGACGACACGGTAGAAATTGAATCTCGTCGACCGCCCTCCCTGCATGCATACGTGTTGCGCGAGCAATTTAGAACATCTGGTCTTATGCCTTGAATTGCTGAAATGACGCGATTTTCCGTACCGAATTGCACGATCTCGAACAATATTTGTAACAGAAATAATTTGTTAAAGCAGAGAATAGTTGGTATATAAAAACAACATTTAAATATGAACTTTTCATATACCAACTATTCTCTGCTTTAACAATTTTATTTCTGTTTTGTTAACTTCAACGCTTAATATCTGTAACAGAAATAATTTGTGTTTCAAAATATTCTCTGTTGTAATCAAAACCACAAACTTGAAAACAATATATTAAATTTTATTATTTATTAATTGGATTAAAGTTGAGATCTAACATTTCCTTAAAATAAACGTGATAACTGTATACACGGCTGCGTCGAATATGTCCGAATTGCTACAAATTATAAAAAACAATTAATACTTATTTGATATATAATTATCAATTGAAATTAAAACAATTACCTCGTGATTTAAATAGCTAAATCTATCCTTAATAGTGCACTTCCTTTCCGCTGTATACGCATTTTTCAACGTAAAAGTTAATATATCGTGCAACAAATCTTCGGATACTGCATTTAAATGTGAAAAATTGACAAAGATCATTCTATTGTGATCTTTTAAATTTTTATCCCAAAACATTTTTCGGATGAATTCGGGCCATGTTTTTGCATCGCCAACAACATCCTGAACCAGTAGCCACGGATTACTATATAATTGCTCTACTGAATATGGCATTATAAATATTTTGGAATTGCACAGAACAATATATAATATGTCACTGAGGTTGAGCGCTCAAATACATGACCACGGGACATGCGCATGTGGTCGCGGAGCATGTCCGTAGTCGCTACATCGCGTCGGTATGACAGGTCTCATAACCTGATAGTCGTCAACTTTAACCGTTAATATTTCGCTTCGCGGGGCAAAGCGACACTTTTTTCTGCCAGATTCGGTCGTTTTGTGCAAAAACGCGTCAATTAAGCCTAAAGGTACAATTTCACGGAGCGAAGAAAAGCCAGCGTTTTACCCCCACTCCATCAATTTTCGTCAAGGTGGCGTTACGGCGTTGCTTAGCTAAAAAGTTCAACACGGTTGAACTTTTAGCGAAGCAACGCCGAACGCCGAAAACACGTGGTGACACAGAGAGAAATAAGTACACGTGGTGACACAGAAAGAACGAAGTTAAAAAGTTATCAGAAAGAAGTTAAATAATTATAAGTATCGCTGAAGGGACGGATAATTTTACATCGCCAGAAAATACAAACGAAGTTAGTATCTATATATTATACAGTACTAAGCATACTTATAGGTTAGGTTGCTTTTTATTTCTTATTTATTTAAGTAATATAAATTTATTTGTTATATTGTGTTAATTTGTATTTGTTATATTGTAGGAAACTCTATTGTACACCTGTAACATATGTAAAAATGTCATTCATAAAAATGAAGTAGATCTGCATTCTTGCTTTGAGGGATTTAGTCATGTTTATATAAATAACGATTTACATATTTGTAAATTCGCAGAGCCTATGGATCGGCAATGAGGAGTTCGAGGATTTGGATGAGATCATCGCTCGACATGTGAATCCCATGGCCGCTTACGCCTCCGAATTATTGGACTTTAAATACTACAAGCCCAACGTGGAGGGAATCAAAGACAAAGCAGAGGATATACTGAAGGAACAGAAGAAGGAAAATCCTGGTGGAATTCCCTACATCATATCGGCAGCTAAGGTAAGTAAACGCGTAGCTGGTTTACGCACGTAACACCAGCAATTTCCCAAAAATCTTCTTCACTTTTAATTTAAAAATAATTTCATTAATTTTTTTTCCCCCATAGACCTATCCTGGAAAGTTCCTACTTTCGTATATATCTGCCGCGTACTCGCTGTCGCCACGAGTTTGTTACAGTGACATCCGAGGGCTTCAGATTTTGAGCGCAGATGTTCGGTAGGGTGAGCGATCTACTACGCTGGTTCAAGGAACACTTTAGGGATCCCGTCCCTGGACAATCCACTCCGAGTACACCACGCGGCGCGATGACTTCTAGGACACCTTACACTACTACGCCAGGAACAGTTAGCGGTAAGTCTGTCTATATCATCACCGCGAACTGTCAGTCATCATAATTTTTATATGAAAGTAATTCCTGGAATTTTAGTATAGGTCAAAATATATTTTACTAGGAAAAAATATTGTATTTCAAGATAAAATCATTCTACATATATATATATTCTGTGTTAACAACTACAATTTTTCGCTAAAATGAAATGAAACGCACAAGTAAGAGCACAAGGACTGCAAATGTATTAATTGCTATTATTTCGATCGATATTGTTTCAGGAATGAATCAAGAAGCAATACAGCGAGTTGCACAAAACCTCCCACATCACATGTTGCACTCGCTATCGCAAGTGGCAAATCAGACGCCGCATCACTATCCGCCACACACACCCGGAGCGGCTAGCGCTACCGGCTACGGCGGAGTACACACGTATCCCAACACGCCGTATACGCCGTCTGGCCAAACTCCGTTTATGACCCCGTACCAGACGCCTCATCACACTCCGCATCATGGCCAGCCTACTCCCAGATACGGCCAACAAACCCCTAGCCATCATCAAGGGCCCTTCGTGCACCCGCCGCCGCCCTCGATGACACCCAGCCATCACAGGTCTGCTCAATCGCACAGACCTACACCACCTCTGTCCACTCCTTCCGGCGACCCGACGGATTGGAAGAAGGCCGCCGAGGATTGGGCAGCACGTATAAAAAGCGGTTCGCGAGTCTCGTAAGTACAATAATAAATATGTATTAAATAACGTTTTCCTATTAAAAATTATTGATATTTGAAATGTTAATGTTCTTCATTCGATTATCATCAATGTGTTGAATGTGTTTTCAGCGGATCGACGCCCAGGTACGAGGAGTCTAGAAGAACTCCACGTAACTATGACGAGCCGGTCGGCAGAACAACGCCCTCCGGAAGGAGCAGACCTTCGTCTACGCGTACTCCGTCGTACAGATCTCTGCAAGGCACCCCACATACAAATTCTAGTCCACGAAGTATGTCGCTCAGCGGAGAGACGGTACTCCTCTGTACGACAAGAGCTAACGGGATTGTGCATAGCTGATTATATTTATTGGACAACGTCATATCACGCTATGAATGAATAATAAGAGTGCGCGTACTCTCGACGACGGGGCTTTCATCCTGAGACGTCGATTGCTAGCGAAATTGAACCGATCATTAATCGTTGCAGACATGCAACACGTAGTAAATTCTTCTACTTTTTTGCATGCGAGGTTTCGTTTGCGATCAAGAGAGGGATCGCCGATTGTAAACTACGGTGTTGTAGTGTACGATTGTAAAGTATGGTGTAATTTATTCTTTAACTATTCTTCCTATGTATATCATAAAATTTACGGAAACTTTACGAAGGCCTGAACACGCTCTGCAATCGTCTTGATTCATTTCCTTGCATACTGATGGCATCAATGAAAAGTAATTTATAAAAACTATTTATATCGAATTGTTAAATTTATTGGAATCATTTTTACTATATTGTAATAATTTTCGAAAACTTTTTATTTATCGGTTTATAATGGAAAGACATTAAATACAAGACTTGTCAACTTATTGTTAGTTATTTTTTTGCAAGTATGTTGATAGGATAATATTGAAAAAATGATTGTAACTGAATTATTGCTCAAATATATGTAAATATGTTCTACATTTTTCATTGGTGCCGTCATGCATGTTAATATAGAGAACTGATTCATCTAATTACTTATTGTATCAGCATCGGTACAACCTCTCTTGAATATTTTTTTTTCGCGATGTACTGTCTATAATAATTGGAGTACTCCATTTTTATTATACACAGTTCTTCTTCTTGTCGGTTAAGTAGCGTTAGCTCAGCGTTTAAATGCTACTTTGCATTGCGTGGGCTGGGGGTAATACGCCAGCTTTTCTTCGCTCCATGAAAATGATAGGGGCGATAGCGTTAGCTGTTCTACGCTGGCTTTACAGTGAGGTGGAGTGGGGATAAACGCTGGCTTTTCTTCGCTCGCATGAAATTTCAGCTTAAGTTCATCAAAATTGGAGGTGAGGGGTGTAAACTGTCATATCTTGCCGGAAGCTCTGCAATGTCAATGTTCAGTCTACTATGCAATTAATCAAAAGAACGATGAACGGTCCGGTCCGCATATGATTGCATTTTGCGTTTATAATTTTAAACACACGCGCGCGCGTAGACATAAATATCATATACACAACTCGGTTAGATACGTGTATTCAATCTGTTTGATAGGCTAATTACAGATTAACGAAACGTAAGCTCTTACATCTATCGTAGTCATAGACGTAAAGCAAGGCAAAGAAAACGTATACGTAACTACGTTCGTATCATCACGTATTGACACGATAGCTTTTCATAACTTACACAGTTACGTATACGGTTTTCTCTTCCTTGCTTTACGTCTATAACTACGATAAACGTAAGAGCCTACGTTTCGTTGTCTGCAATTAGCCTATCAAACAGATAAGAATATATTTATTCATATTAGGAGTAAACAGTACAGTTGTTGGCCACATCTTAAAAAAAAGATATAAAAAAATACAAATGTTTTTATTAAAAATACAAAAATATAATTCTTAAATATAATTAACTCTTCTTTTTATAATTAAAAACATTTGTATTTCATTATAATATTAATTTAAGATGTGGCCATTGTAGAGTGGCCAACAACATTACTGTTTACACCTATTTTTTGTCTAATATTGTGACATGTATCCTGCCGGCGCGGGCGGCGCCGTCGTCGATACGTATCCTGCCAGCGCGGATGGCGCCGATGTGTATCTTGGTGGTGCGTACATTGCCGGTGCGGGCGGCGCCGGTGCGTATCCTGTCGGCGCAGGTGGCGCCGGTGCGTACATTGCCAGCGTGGGCTGCACCACTGCGTATCCTGTCGGCGCGGGCTGCGCCGGTGCGTATCCTGTCGACGCAAGTGGCACCGGTGCGGTTGGTATTGGCGGAGCGGGCGGTGCCCACTTTTTGCGCGCGTATAAATTTTTTTTATAATGCGCCTTTTTTTCTGCAGCCTACGATGCTTTTGTTGTTTTTTTTTTCTGTAAATAACATTTTTCAATTAATTTTTTATGTATATATTTTATGTATTTATTATTATTTTATCGATAAAAATTAAACAATTAAGTTCAATATGTGGACAAACGAATAAGGTAAAAATATAGTCAGTAAATACAACCTAACTGAAAAAATTGAAAAAAGAATAGCTATATTTATTCTCAATTACTTGTAAAATTAGAATATGTAATTAATATGAACGTCGTTTCTCCATTCAGATTTCTTCAGCACTAATAATATCATAACAACATTATCAAAGCAAGATCATTAAATAAATAAAAATAAATGTATAATATATATTACATAAATATATGTATATTTACAAGTTTAACTGTTCGAGATTCCGTTATCACACTGCGCCATCCGATCAGATGGCAGCATCGATCGGATATCGACGGGCCGGATCGACGCGGCAACTTGCGTAAGCACATCGCCAACTTCTTCCTCGCGACACACAGAGTCGTACAAATGGCCGCGCAGTGATCAGACGTGCGACGTGTGCTCTGTGCATTTGATTTGCGAGTACGAATTGAAGTGCCCATCGCAGTGATTGAAGCTGCCGAGATACTTTCCTAACGTGTAACTAGACCGCTCGACCAGCTCAGGTGCATCGACACGACGAATCAAGTTCACACGTGCGCGAGTGCCGACCGCCACGTGTCTCACCGGCTCACGGGCGAATCACCACACGGAGGGCAATTAATACAATTGTCCCTCGCATTCACGGACAATCTAAAGACTTCTCATTCATACACCGCTCATTGATTCTCAGGTCAGACTGTATAATTTTTGACGCATTAAAGACTGCTCAGACTGTGTTCTGAGCTACACATAAATAAAGGAAACAATTTGTTAACACCTTCCCCGCCGGGAAAATTAAGCGATTTCGCGAACATTAACTTTAGTATATATATCTTTATAAAATAATAAAATATATCAAAATATGACGCTGTCATATCAACGGTAAGTTTACTTTAAAATTAAGTACGTCAATAAAATGCTATTCATTAGCATCATTAGAGTTAAAATCAAATAAATAATTAGGAACTCGGTATTGATTATAATCTCGCTCATCATTTTGAATTTGCTCGACTAATTATTATTTGTTTGTTTCACAACTCGATCAACCTTTACACGGACTGGGAATCAGCTGGCTCTCCGTCATCCGGATGGATTTGCTGGCTTGCCTCGATCAACGGGTCCTCTCCTTCGTCTGGTTCGCTGCTGTCCAAAAGTATGGTAGTATTGGAATCGGTACTGACGTTCTGTTTATTTTCAGGATCTTCAGGAATGGGAGTGGAAGTGTATATGCGGGGATCAGAAATTTTTAATTCCGCCTTCGTACGAACTCCCTCCTTGGCTGGTGTGGATCTCTTTTCGCCTGCATCTGCGCTGCTGCTTTTCCTTTTAGGATCAGGTCAAGCGTGATCAATGCACCCGACTGGCTCTTTGACGTCGGCAAGGTTAGGTTGTGACCGGACGTTGCGATTTGGGTGCCCGAATCCCGATGTTTTCTTCCTTAACACGGTCGCCACTCGATTTAACCTTTACCAACCGAGAAGGTAAGTAATAATGAATACTTGGATTATCAATCTAATTTTCTCCCTTTATTTTCAGGTTCCTGCCAACGTTGGATCATCACCGCTACTACTCAAGGATCTCCGCTTCACTGCTCCGAGGGACTTAGCCGCTCAAGGAACTCCGTTTCATTGACGCCGAGGGACTTCGTGGGATCACCGCCGATGGACCAGGTAAATATCGCAAAGTAAGTAAATGATGACAAATCTCGACGTAATTCACAATATGATTCAATAATTTATTTAATTGAATGTTTTCCCGCAGGAAGTTGTTCACAGATCTTCGTTGTTCACAAAATGGCTGACACGCATGTCGCTGGGTACAAGTACCGTACGCTTCGCCTCCACTCTTCACAATCGGTGACTAAGCACCACTCGCTTTCGTATCGGGAGCAAGTAACGCGTTTCCGCGGGCGTTGTGCCGGTTGTTGTGAACCGCGGGGCAACCATCAACGCGTCCGGGCTCGACTCGCGGAATTAATTCTACACGAGGAACGTTAGCGCGCGATTTTAGTGTCACCTCATCGACGATCCTCGACCAACTGCCTCGAGTTACGCTCCTCGCTCGGGCTCCCCACTTCGGGATCGCAGCCCCACTCCGTCGCCTATTGCGCCGTAGTGCCAGATGTTCGCCAGATGTGCGGTTTTCACATTTCCCCTTCCACGCCTGTTTACGCGTACGGGCGACCTACCGCGTCAACACGGAAATTTCTACCGAGCTTGCGCTCGCGCGCATCGCGCGCCCTGGGCCCGATGCACCAGGTTTCCAACCTTTGCGTTTTACGCGCGCCGATGGCGCCGACCTATGCGCGTGACCTTTCCTACGCTACGGAACATGCTCCCGGACGACCTCCTCGGAGAAGACGTCCGGGTGACCTGCACGATGCTCGCCGTTGACGCCGACCCCCTCTGACTGATCCTCGGGGCCGCGGAAACTCGTGCCCGTCTTCCTGGTGGTTTACCAAGGTCGTCTCACTGCTGTTAGGCGTCGGTCTCGCGCTATCTTTTCGACCCGCTGCGCATGGTTCGCGATTTCGCTAAGTTCTCGTCAGATCGCTTGCCACTCGCTCCCCGACTAAGTCTTCGCTCGCGTTTGTCTATCATGCGCGGTCGCTTTGGCGCTTGAGCCGATGGTAAAGTTTTTCGCGAACGCGGTCTCGGATCGCTCCGCCGATCTTCCCCGACTGACTTTCGTCACCCGTTCGTCAGTCATACACGCTCAGTTTCGCGCCTGAGCCGATGGTAAAGTTTTTCGCGAACGCGGTCTCAGATCGATCTGCCGGTCTTCCGTGACTGACTTTCGTCCTCGCTTCGTCAGTCATGGGCGGTTCATTCGCGTGTTTTAGACCGCAGCTGATCCCTTCGCGAACCGGGTCGTCGGTTGTTGTATCGACCCTTTCTGAAGATTGTAGGTGGCTCAAGTCGAGTATCCGCGCGTCGTGCGCCGGTTCGCGCGGAGAAAATAAAACATAATAGGCTCGAGCCGGAAAGTAATAAACCCCACACAAATAAAAAAAAAGGAACAAATTTGTTGTTGGCCGGCGTCTGAAAAAGGAACTTACATACTAAGAGCTATCGGCGGACTTAGCCGCAACGCTTACACTATGTGCGCCGGATGGGGATCGTAAACACCAACGGAAACCATCTAATCGCGGTTATCCCTCATCCTCGAAACGCTTGCTCTTAAATCTAATGAAGGAAGGCTGCCCCGCCGTCCGCCGACGATTCCTCTCCCGACGGGCTGAGGAACTCCTCGGAGGTCGCCTCGTTCGGCGATCTGGTCGGGTTGCCCGGAGCCCTCTCCCCAGCTATGTCGGCGGGCGCGGCTGGCGCGTCGCCCCTGATGGTGGCCAGCTCCGCCTCGAGCGCCTGCACCGCGGTCTGGACGGCCGCCAACTCCGCTTCCGGGTCCACGCCGTTGCGGCTCGTCGCCAACTCGCCCGTCGCCACGGCGATCACCTCGTCGGCGTCAATCACCGCGGTCGCGATTGTCCCGCCTACCTGCGGGTGCTCCCCTTCGTCTCCCGTCTCACCCGGTGGGCCTAGATTGAGCGCCGGGTCACTCATTCCCCAATCAAACAGATCGGGCATGTCAAAGGCCAGGCTTGCCCCTGTCTGCTCCTCGGCCACCGCTGTCTCCGGGACGCCCTGCTCCTCCGGGTCTAGAATTCCGGCCGCCCTACGTAGCTGCTCATCGGAGAGCCGGCGCAAAATAAGACGGGGGGACTTGAGCGTGAAATTACGCCGCAATTGGGCAGGCGGTTTCAAGGTTAAGTTGTAACCGAACGATACGTAATCGGACTACGGGGTACGCGATTTTGTCCTCTAAGTCATCGATCGCCACTCGGTTTAACCTTAAACTACCAAGAAGGTAGGTATTCGTAATGCAAACGACACAAAAGCTGAACAATTTGTTTAAACAATTTTATTTTTTCATGCCGCCACGGCTGCCTTGTCAGTGCCGCTTGTGCTCAAGATACCGCTAGGTATGACCTTGGTCGGCCAGCCAGGGACACCGATTGTCACGACAACCGCTTGATCAGGTATATATATACGTCTATCTCCTTAACCCTTTCACTTTTTAGCTTCCCGCCACGGATGCCTCCTCTGTGTTGCCCTGCCTCACGCTTCCGCTATCTATCAATCGCTTGCCTCGTACGTGGAACCAAGATGGCCGGACAACCGCTTGATCGGGTAAGTCCCGACATTAAGATCAATTAACCAACTAATTCTCTTTTATTTTCAGGTTTCGTCAACGGATTCTTCATCACCATCGCCGATGTCATGGATCACCGCTGCTCACCGACGACCAGGATCACTGCGTATGGGAGATGCCGCGACACGAGGTAAGTATGAGAACTGTCGTGATAACTATGATTAATGCCGTTTCTTTTCAGGTTTCCGCCACGGCTTCCTCATCTATGGCCTCTTCTGATGCATAATCGATGATGACCTTGAAGCTCAGACACCGCTAACACACAAGATGGACGACAGCCGCTTGTTCAGGTGAGTTGAAGGTAAGTAACTGATATTTCTGTATTTATTTTTGCAAATAATTATTGCTTTTATTGTTAACTATCGTTTCACAATGGTGGTAATTCACAATTACTGATGCCGCGCAAGATGGCGGTCGCACGTCTCGCAAAGTGCGATTTCACGATTCCGGTACGCGAAAAAACCGTACGCCTTTCGTATCGGCGTCATTTAACGCTATATGCGGGCGTTTGTTTCGGACACTGTGGTAGGCTTACAATCGTAATCCGTTACGTTTTCGCGATAGTTACCACGACACGCCGAGATATACGCGCGAGAAGATAGCTACCATTCGAGCGCCCACGAGAGACTGCCCCGAGGAATATTCCTCTCTCGGGCTCCCTACCTCCGAAGTTTTACCCCCACCATGGGGTCTCGGCCGCTTTCTCCTCGCTGTTTACGAGTTTCGGCTCGCCAAGTGTGCGCCAGATGTTCTTGATGGAAATTTCTGCCGCCAGTACACTATTTACGAGACGCTTAAACAGCTCCCGGGTAGTGGTTTTCCAACTCTTCAAAAAATTGACTTTTGAGGGCGCCGACCCGTGCGCACGGCCTCTCCTACGTCCCTAATGCCGATTCCGGGCCGACTTCCTGGAGACGACGTCCAGGTCGCTTTTTACGTGTCCGCCGATGGCGGCGACCCGGCTGCCTATTCTCCCAGTCCCTACTAACCGTATTCCGGCCTAACTTCTCGTAGCCGATGTCTAGGTCTATCGGTTTACACGACTGTCGTGGCAACCCACCGTCCGGATGGTCGGATCTCGGGCGCGATTCGTTCCTCGGGTGTACTAGGTATCCCCGAGGACGCATCTCTGGCCCTTTTCCGCTACGACTTCCGGTTCGCAAATTTGCGGATTGTCGTGTGAACTGCACGTCTGGGTGCTCGGATTTTGCTCGCGATCGACTCCTAGGGTCTCTCTAACCTCCCCCAGTACGCATCTTCGGCCTCTTTCCGCTACGACGTCCGGTTCGGAAATTCACGGATCGTCGTGTGAACTGCACTTCCGGGTGCTCGGATTTCGCTCGCGATCGACTCCTAGAGCTTATCTTACCTCCCCCAGTACGCAGCTTCGGCCCTTTTCCGCTACGACGTCCGGTTCGGAAATTCACGGATTGTCGTGTGAACTGCACTTCCGGGTGCTCGGATTTCGCTCGCGATCGACTCCTAGAGCTTATCTTACCTCCACCAGTACGCAGCTTCGGCCCTTTTCCGCTACGACGTCCGGTTCGCGAATTCGCTGATTGTCGTGTGAACTGCACTTCCGGGTGCTCGGATTTCGCTCGCGATTGATTCCAGGGGTTGGTTGGACCTCTCTCTGGATGCATCTTCAGCTGTTTTGCGCTATGGCTTCCCGTTCGCGTTTTCGTGGATTGTCATCCAAACCCTATGTCTGCGTGTTCGGATCACGCCGGTTTTGCGTAGGCCCCCTCTTAGGGACCCCGTGAGTTGGCATCCTGACTCCTACTCGCGTAGCACGCGCGGTACGTGCACTAAGTGCCCGCGCTATGAAGATTGTGTGTGACTCGACCATTTACCTTATCGGTGCGTTACCGCAATCCACGCACTTGTTCAAAATCAAATTCTTTCGCTCCTGGTCGGGCCGGGCATCGTCGTGCCAAAACGAAAACTAAAATTGGTGGATTGGGGAAGAAAATGTCTTAATAGCTATACGAGCCGCTGCTCGGCGACCGCTGTCGCATGCCTTAATATTAATGGCGCCGGACGGGTAAAATCGATGACTCAGGAACGATAAAGGAATGAATATGCAATGAACTAATAAAAGAAAAAGAAAAAGAAATATGTCTCGACTCCGTCCTCGGAGCGCTCGCGCAACTTAAACTCTATCGGGGATGTCCCCCTCGTCTTCGGAGGTCTCCTCCCCGGTGGATGGGCTCCGGAACTCGTTGCTGGGCTCGTCCCGTTCGTCCTGCGTCGCTCCACACGGCATCACCGTCAACGTCGGCGTCGGTTGGTCGAACACGACGCGTGCGGTTGCAAGGTTGTGACCGGACGGAGGATGTTTCTTGTTTTTGCACGCGTGTTCGCTCGCAGTTCGTCGCAAACATGTTTTCGCGTTTGTCGTCGGAAAGTTCCTATATATATCGGGTGATTCGCGTAACATCGCATACATAGTTATTCATACGTATTAGTCGCGGTTGTTCGTACGCTATTGCTATACAATATCACCGTTCGACTCTTTGATAACGCCTTCCAAGCTACGTTATCTTAGACAACGCTATCGCTTGTTCTACTTTATTTCCCGTTCCGCATTGCCATACGCTCGTGTAATTCCCTCCTCCAATCTTACAAATTTCGTGTAGGAAATTCAT